GAGAGAGAGAGAGAGAGAGAGAGAGAGAGAGAGAGAGAGAGACATATATATACATATATATATATATATATATATAGAGAGAGAGAGAGAGACAGCTGTTGCAGCGGAGCGTGGAGCGCAGTGGAGCGGCGGCGTCGACTCGACGAAGGCGGAGCAGCCAAGTGCGCGGCGATGGCTGCGAACCGGCACGCGCGGTCCTGAAAGACGCCGTTGAATTTTTAATTCAATGGCGTTAAACGCGATTTAACACGTTTGAACGGCGTTAAACGCAGTTTAACGCGCGGGCCCGCGGTGCTTGACGCTCTTGTTGGACCGGTATTTCATGAACCTGCAGGGGGTGAATCCAAGCCCCGCTTGTCATGCTTGGAGGTGATGTATGCGCCATCAGTGGTTGATATGACCGTGATGGTCATGCTGAGAAAGTTGGCCACACGGCCAACCCCATCCTCGCTTACCTCAGTGTTCTCCCTGATCTCGGTGAATTGATCCGGATAGATCCAGCACGGATCCCCCCCCTCCCTTTCTTCACTTCTCCGCAGAAAGCTACTGATGACCGTGTTATTAACAGCCCCCAGGTCGTCGATGTTCCTGAAGGTGCTTGCGAAGTCAGGGATCAGATGGACGTTTCCAGTGTCCACTATCCTCATCATGGCGCGGTATTCATACTTAAAAAAATATATATCGCACCAGATTGGCGAGCACGCCAACCCCATTGGAATACCCCTCACCTGCCGCAAGACCCCCATTTGCAGTACACTATTGGCAATGCACCACTCCGTAATCCAGAAAATATCCCCCTCTCTGAGTAGAAGCGCACCCAACTCCTCCAGCTGCTCGCTGTCCACCCACGATGGCCAGAGACCGCCGTTTGCGCCAAATCTAATACGAATGGTATGGCAGGAGTTCCTTTCCCTCCTCACTCGCATTGCGCACTGCACATAGAATCTGACCGCCGTGGGGAGGCTGTCCTCCGAGTTATCCGTGGGGATCGTCTTAAAACACCTCGTGATGTCGGCGGTGAACACGGAGTAAACCTTCTCCGGAAGGTTAGCGCAGAACTCCCCCACTGAGGCTATTGCCCACCCAAGTTGGGTCTGACCCCATGCTGCTCCTCCACCTCCATTCTCCTTTCCTGGCAAAAAGTCTGCACCAATGGGAGAAGGAATCGCAGAAGGCAGGCGCAAACCTCCGCTGCAGGTGAGATAATCGTGTTGGCCGTGTTCGTTATCCAGCGGAACGACCCCTTGTGCGCCTTCAGCACCATCATGAGATATGGGAGCGTAGCCGGGGCTACCGGGAGTGCGGGTAAGGCGGAAAGTTCACCACGTATGTGCGAGATGACGCCCGCGGGTGTGACACCGATGCATGCGAACTCCGGGCCAGACAGTCTCTGGAAAGCGATCTTCCGGATGAAGTTCTTGCATACAAAAGTTGGGGTGTTGGGCGCCTTGTCCGTTGGGCAGATGAGGAATCTGCCCGCGATGAAATCCAGCTCCCTTTTCACGGCTGGGTGCTCGAATGGTTCTGCGACCGCATGTCTATGTGCATCCTTGAACTTACCCATCTTCGCTCTCCCCTTCTTCATGATATTCCTCTTTAGGAAGGATTTGGTGGAGTCCGTAAGGTTCTGCAACTCCATCACCCTCCCGAAGAGATCGTCCAACAGGCGATCCAACTCCATAGCTGCCTCTTCTACGTCCAGGGCCATGATCGGGACATGATTGACGCCTGCGTTAATGACGCCTTGCAACAGCGGATTGTCTGTAACTTAGGAGGTCAAAGTAATGACATGCGTCCATCCTTCGTTCTGGAGCAGCTCGATTGACCACTCGCTGCGCAAATACGAGTATCTTTGAGTCCTGCATGGGCATTGTTCCGGGTCGTAGCTATCCAACCACTGAGAGACGTCAAAATCGCAAAAAAACTCTGCAGGTCTGCATAGCCTGGATGCGATGCTGGGGTTGTAAGTCCAGCCGATTCTGATGCGCTCTAGCCAGCCGGATGCATCACCCCCCACCACTCTGCTGAGCACCTCATTCACCATCTTCCTAACGGACAGCGGTTCCATCACACGGCTGATGTACTTCAGATTTAGAAAAGCGTCATATTCGGGCTTCTGTCTCTCCCATGTCCTCCTGCCGCTTGGTAGGGTGACCATTTGTCCCGGGGCGCTCAGCCACCTGTTCGGATCCTGCGCTCACAGGCACAGAACGGGAGGAAGAAAAACAAGAAGAAGCATGCAAGAGGAACGCTCGATAATGAAGAACAAGAGATAGAATCAAGGGAATACAGAAGGAGGAGGAGGACGATGGAGCGAGGAACACCGTCGGAAGGGAGAGAGAGAGGAGGAGAAAGAAGAGAACAGAAAAGACAACGGAGAGGGAGAGAGAGAGAGAGAGAGAGAGAGAGAGAGAGAGAGAGAGAGAAAGCAACGTAACGAATGTTCGGTTCATGTCTTGGCAAGGCGTCTGCCCGGTGCAGCGGAACCGCCCCTCCCTCTGCCCCTCCCCGGGCCACCCGCGTTATTCTGTCTTCTTCTCCCTGGTTGGGTAAGCGAGGACTGCGCGGAATCTCCTGGTGAGATGTGGATGACCGGTGGGGGGGTAAGCCCCCTGATGTCCACCAAGAGGGGGATGGAAGGAAGAGGGGAGGCCAGGACCGGCAGCCAGGCGGCCGTGCACGGGGGGGATTGCTGCATTCCCATGCAGAATGGAATGGCGGGGGGGTTGTTTAGCGAAGGTCTGCTACCGGCCCTTGATGTACTGCCAGTCATCATCACAGGTTGCTGCTGGGCGGGGGCAGGAGGAGGAGGGGGAGGAGAAGGAGGGGGAGGAGAAGGAGGGGGAGGGGGAGGAGGAGGAGGGGGGGCGCCGTTCCCGGGTTGGATATGCTGGAAATTGAGCGTGGTTTGGCCCTGCACTTGGGTGTTATGGTTCCTCTTCCGAGCCGCGGCGCGCGGAGAGCTGAGCGGGACCCTCATAGGTTTCTCGGGAATCCGCGTGGGGAGCATAATGCGGGCGAGAGCCGCCGGGATTGGGTAATTCCACAGTCGATCCTCCTTGAGCAAGGTGTAGGGCCAAACCCCGGTAGACTTTCGAGCCTTAGTCGACCCCACTGCGGGTCCCAGTTGGCTCGGCCCGCCCACGCTCATGCTCAGGGCGCGGGCTGTTCGTCCGCAGGTCACCCCCACCTAGTGCTTTGAGATGGATGGGGGTGGGCCATCGCGCGAGAGAGCTTTGACATTGGGGATGTAGCTCAGCCCTCACACCGGGTGGTAGTCTCACTGGTCGTTCCGCAACGCTGATTTTTTTTCGATTCTTTATTGTGTTCTCAAGCAATTGCTCCTTCCAATACGCAAGCAGTCCAGGGGTTCTTTGAGCCTTTCTCTTCTCTTGTGCGTAGGCTAAGCCTCATCCTTAGGCCACGCACCATTTCCCTAAGCATTTTGGCTATATGGCGTCATCGGGGTGCGACGGGGCCGTTCTTCCCCTTGCCTCTACGCATCCATCGGATCTCACAATTTGCTTCCCAGCTTATTGAAGTAGGCCCCTTAGTCTTTTCGGGGTCCTCATATGCATCCACAGACAACATCACATTTGCCTTGGTACGATTGCACTCTCAATCACACTTCCAAGTCTCAAGTGCAAGAGTCATTTTCATGAATTGGCTCTATGTCAAGGGTCCCATAGCCCCTTTGTCCCTCTTCCCTTTCCCTCTTGGTGCCCAATTTTCTCTCGCCCTTATCCCGCTCAAGGCATTTCTAGCCATTACTCACCTGCACAATCCCACACAAGCAAGAAGATTCATACAGTGTCCCTTGTTGGTGGTCAACACATAGCCCTTCCCACATGCCTATTCTTTTTATGCTCTTTGGTTGTGCTTTGTTCCCTTTTTGTTGTTCAATCAGCCCATCATCTTCTCATAGTCATGCAGTCGGCGAAATGGTTGAGTCAAACTGACCTCACTTTCAACTTAAGTTCTTTTTCGGATTCCGCCTTTCTCCCACTTTTTTCAACCGTTCTTTCTCTTTTGCCTCCTTGGTGGCACAAGGGACCGACTATCCTCCCCTTGCCCTCTTTCTCCACCAAGTGAAGTCTAATTTTATTTACCGTCCGTACCCTGGGAATGTTTCCAAGTGAGAGGAAAAGGGGTTAGTCATATGCCAAGTGAGGGGAAGGGAGAGAGGAAGCAAGGCGAAAGAAGAGACAGAGTAAGGGAGAGAGAGAGAGAGAGAGAGAGAGAGAGAGAGAGAGAGAGAGAGAGAGAGAGAGAGAGAGAGAGAGAGAGAGAGAGAGAGAGAGAGAGACAGAGGACAAAAAGAACCTCTAATCAATTCAGCCCCCCCTCGTAACAACAACCAAACATCGATCACCCGCCCTAGTAGTGAGAGATTGAATAAGTATATTTCAGAATAACATGACAATGTGAAACTAGACTAAAGGTAACACATGCACAAAGGAGAARAGTTCAACAAAGTAAAAAATCCGGAACGTGCAACTTACAATGAAGACTAAACTAGAAGAAAGCTCATGCACAATGAGTAGCTGTCAACAAGTAAAGATCCGGAACATGAACTTGACAATAATGGACTAGACTAGTGGAAACACAACCACAATAGAGAAGAGTTTAACAAAGTAAAGATCCGGAACATGAACCAGCCAATGATACTACACTAGTGGAAAGCACACAGACAAATGGAGAAGAGTTCAACAAAGTAAAAGGCCCGGAATATAAACTTGACAATGAAGACTATACTAGTGGAAAGCACATGCACAAGAAAGAAGAGTTCAACAAAGTAAAAGATCCGGAACATAAACTAGACAATGTAGACTAAACTAGTGGAAGCACAAGCACAAAGGAGAAGAGTTCAACAAAGTAAAAGATTCGGAACATGAACCTGCAATGAAGACTAGACTAGTGGAAGGCACATGCACAAAGGAGAAGAGTTCAACAAAGTGAAGAACCGGAATATGAACTTAACAACGTAGACTAGATTAGTGGAAGCACATGCACAATGGGGAATAGTTTAACAAACTAAAGATCCGGAACATGAACTTCACAACGAGACTAGACTAGTGGAAAGTACATGCACAATGGAGAAGAGTTCAACAAAGTAAAAGACCTCGAACATGAACTTGACAATGAAGACCGTACTAGTGGAAAACACATGCACAAGAGAGAGGAGTTCAACAAAGTAAAAGATCCGGAACATGAAATTGACAATGAGACTAGACTAGTGGAAAACACATGCACAATGGAGAAGAGTTCAACAAAGTAAAAGACCCGGAACATGAACTTGACAATGAAGACTGTACTAGTGGAAAGCACATGCACAAGGGAGAAGAGTTCAACAAGGTAAAAGATCCGGAACATGAACTTGACAATGTAGACTAGACTAGTGGAAGCACATGCACAAAGGAAAAGAGTTCAACAAAGTAAAAGATTCGGAATATGAACTTGCAATAAAGACAAGACCAGTGGAAGGCACATGCACAAAGGAGAAGAGTTCAACAAAGTGAAGAACCGGAACATAAACTTGACAATGTACACTAGATTAGTGGAAGCACATGCACAATGGGGAGGAGTTCAACAAAGTAAGGATTCGGAACATGAACTTGACACTGAGACTAAACTAATGGAAAGCACATGCTTAATGGAGAAGAGTTCAACACAGTAAAAGACCCGGAACATGAACTTGACAATGAAAACTATACTAGTGGAAAGCACATGCACAATGGAGAAGAGTTCAACAAAGTAAAAGACCCAGAACATGAACTTAACAATGAAGACTATACTAGTGGAAAGCACACACACAAGGGAGAAGAGTTTCAACAAAATAAAGATCTGGAACATGAACTTGACAATGAGACTTAGACTAGTGGAAAACACATGCATAATGGAGAAGAGTTCAATGAAAGTTAAAGATCCGGAACAATGAACTTAACAATGAAGACTAGACTAGTGGAAGCATATGCACAATCAGTAGGTGTCAACAAGGTAGAGATCCGGAACATGAACTTGACAATGAGACCAGACTAGTGGAAGCACATGCACAATAAAGAAAAGTTCAACAAAGTGAAAATCGGAACATGAACTTGACAAGGGAGAGGCTAGCCTTGTGGAAATACATGCACAAAGCGAAGAGATCAACTAAACAAAGATCCGGAATATGAATTTCACAATGAAAACTAAACTAGTGGAAGCACATGCACAGTGAGTAGGTGTCAACAAGGTAGAGATCCGGAACACGAACTTGACAAAGAGACTAGACTAGTGGAAGCACATGGAAGCACATGCACAATGGAGAAAAGTTCAACAAAGTGACAAATCGGAACAAGAACTTGACAAGGGAGAGGCTAGCCTAGTGGAAGCACATGAACAAAAGGAAGAGATCAACTAAACAAAGATCCGGAATATGAATTTGACAATGAGACTAGACTAGTGGAAAGCACATGCAAAACGGAGAAGAGTTCAACACAGAAAAAGATCCGGAACATGAACTTGACAATGAAGACTTACACTAGTGGAAGCACATGCAAAATGAGTAGGTGTCAACACGGTAGAGATCTGGAACATGAACTTGACAATGAGACTAGACTAGTGGAAGCACGTGCACAATGGAGAAGAGTTCAGCAAAGTGAAGAACCGGAACATGAATTCGTCAATGTAGACTAGACTAGTGGAAGGCACAGACACAAAGGACAAAAAATCAACAGGGTAAAGATCCGGAATATGAACTTGACAATGTGAGACAAGACTAGTGAAAATATACGCACAAAGAGAACAGATCAACTTAAGAAAAGATCCGGAACATGAACTTGACAAGGGAAAGGCTTGCCTAGTGGAAGCAAATGCACAAAGGGAAGAGATCAACCAAACAAAGATGCGGAATATGAACTTGACAACTAGAGGCTAGACTAGTGGAAAACACATGCACAATGGAGAACAGTTCAACAAAGTAAAGATCCTGAAAATGAACTTGATAATTAGAGACTAGACTAGTGGAAAACACATGCATAATGGATCCGGAACATGAACTTGACAATGAGACTAGACTAGTGGAAAGCACATGCACAATGGAGAAGAGTTCAACAAAGTGAAGATCCGGAACATTAACTTGACAATTAGAGACTAGACTAGTGGAAAGCACATGCACAATGGAGAAGAGTTCAACGACGTAAAGATCCGGAACATGAACTTGACAATGAGACTAGACTAGTGGAAAACACATGCACAATGGAGAAGAGTTCAACAAAGTAAAGATCCGTAACATGAACTTGACAATGAGACTAGACTAGTGGAAAACACATGCACAATGGAGAAGAGTTCAACAAAGTAAAGATCCGGAACATGAACTTGACAATGAGACTAGACCAGTGGAAAGCACACACACAAATGGAGAAAAGTTCAACAAAGTAAAAGGCCCGGAACATGAACTTGACAATGAAGACTATACTAATGGAAAACACATGAACAAGGAAGAAGAGTTCAACAAAGTAAAAGATCCCGAACATAAACTTGACACTGTAGACTAGACTAGTGGAAACACATGCAGAAACGAGAAGAGTTCAACAAAGTAAAAGATTTGAAACATGAACTTGCAATGAAGACTAGACTAGTGGAAGGCACAAGCACAAAGGAGAAGAGTTCAACAAAGTGAAGAACCGGAACATGAACTTACTAATGTAGACTAGATTAGTGGAAACACATGCACAATGGGGAAGAGTTCAACAAAGTTAAGATCCGGAACATGAACTTGAGAATGAGACTAGATTAGTGGAAAGCACATGCACAATGGAGAACAGTTCAACAAAGTAAAAGACCTGGAACATGAACTTGACAATGAAGACTATACTAGTGGAAAACACGTGCACAAGGGAGAGGAGTTCAAAAAAGTAAAACATCCGGAACATGAACTTAAAAATAAGGCTAGACTAGTGGACAACACATGCACAATGGAGAAGAGTTCAACAAAGTGAAAGACCGGAAACATGAACTT